TTGAACTGGGACTTGAACCCAGGGATGCCTTACCACTGAACTGAGCCACTTCCTCAGACCTTTTTATTTTTTATTTTGAGACAGGGTCTTGCTAAGTTGCTGAGGTTGGCCTCAAACTTGAGATCTACCTGCCTCCCAAATTTCTGGGAATGTAGACATGTGCCTCTGAGCCCTGGCTTGCTTGTACATCTTGATACGAGTTATACAGAATAAAAGAGAATTGCTTAGCAATTTTAATCAATTTTGAGACATAGGTTAAAATTTAGCACTGATAACTATACCTTAGACTTAAGAATATTGGAGGCTTGAACGTTCAAAATGTTAAATGTAAACTGAGGTGAGGTCTTAATTTTCAAATAATAAGTTATTGATAAATTAAAAGGGGCTATAGTCTTTTATTTCCTTGGGTATTTTGTTGTTGTTGTGGGGTTTTTGTTGTTTTGGTTTTGGTTTGAGACCAGCTGTCCCTGTGTTGTTCAGGTGGCCTGGAACTCCTGGGCTTAAGCAAAATCCTTCTGCCTCAGCCTCCTGAGTACTTGGGCTATAGGCACACACTGTCGTGCCTTGCTTTTCCCCTATGATGTTTTACAGTAATGTTTTAAAAAAAAAAATTCTATATGATTTGTTTTGTTCCTCTTCAAACAGTGGAGGTCCATTGGTCATTGTAGCTTTTGAAGAGTCAATTCTGCAGGAGCATGTATTGCTCCAGCTTGTTCTTTTTATGGGCTGGTAGCCAAAATACATTTCTGCAATCAGATTTTATAGTTTGCTTGTTAGTTCCTGCTAATTATGTTTGTTTGTAATTATTTGTAGTGAAGTAAAGCTTTATTATCTGTGGCATGGTGAGAGCAAAGATTTTTTCTAAATGTAAAAATAAAGTTGCATCAAGTAATTAGAAATTGTCCTTAAGTACAATGGCCATCAACATATATTTCACCCCTTTCTTACCAAAAGGTGGCTTAAGTGTACACCGGTGTACCTTTGTTGGTTATCCTTTTTAAATTTGTTATAAAATCACTGAGGCATAAGATAAGGTATATTGTATATACAGTTAGTAGGGGCAGAGTTCTCTGATCTTTTGTTATTAAAACAGTGTCACATGACCTGTTAAGGAATTGTTTCTTCCAAAAAATGTGTTTATCTACTAACCAGTTTTATAAAGTCCTTTTGGGTACTAGAATGCATTACATTGCATGGTTAGATTGATTTGGAATAATTCCTTCTAGAAAGAATTTGTGCCAATTCTTTTTCCTCTCTGAGAGGAATGGTTGCAGAGCATAGGCTCTGTGCCTAATGTCAATTCCATAAGGCTCTTCTGTGTGTGTGTGTGTGTGTGTGTGTGTGTGTGTGTGTCCCCAAACTGGACTCTGTCATGAGGAAGAGATGTATCTATAATCGAGCATTTTCTTTACTCAAGGGTTATTTGTCATTTCAGACAGCATGGACTTTTGAGAACAGCCTTGAGTTGGGGGAGGCAAAGTTATATAAACTGCATTCATAGTTAAATATTTGCTTCTAGGGAAAAGGTGAAAAATGCTTTGTACTTTTTCCTTTGGCTTTTTCCTCCAAAAGAGCTTGTCATGCAACAACAAGAAAAAGTGGCCAAAGGCAGAAAAAACCTCTTCTCTTTTCCATGTTGGTTTGTTTTTATTGTAAGACAAACCTTTCATGTTTTATTGTTATAAAGCTTAAACCTGGCCTAGAGGTGCCAGTCTTTAGTGGAAACAGCTGCACAGTTGGTGTCCCCTGGTCAGGTGGAACTTTCTTTGAAGCAACATGTTGCCTTTTAAAAGAGAATTGAGCATGTGAGAACTTGACTCTGTAAAACTCATCAGCATTCCGCCATTGTTTATCTCTTAAGTGACTGGCATAGCTAACTTTAAGTAAAACATTGCAATTAAAAACCATTTTATGAATGAAAAAATCTCTTTCCTGAAAAGAATACCATATTACTTTGTGTGTTAAAAATATAGAAACATAGAGGGGGGGAGATCACTCAAGAATCGAAATTCTGACAGCCCCATTTAATCAAGACCACAGAACATGTCCCCGATAACTCTTCCTTTTGGTTGGACTGAACTGTGATTTTGAGCTTTTATTTATATTTGCAGTTAGATGCCTTTGGTAGGAGCAAATCAGGGTGGTTGGGCATATATCTGGGTTCTAGAGATAAAAGATTTTCTCTTGGTCGATGTTGCAGTGTTTCTCATCTTTTTGATGGAGCGATACTGGTAGCAGTGGACTTAGCATCACTCTTGGTCTCTTGCTAGGAAAAGTTTAGCATCAGAGAGCTTTCTTTCCTTGGGGAAAAATAGAAGAGACAGGCATGGAGTCAAGAGGGACAAGAAAAATGCTGAAATATTTTCCTTTTGGGCTTTTGATTTCTTTGCCAAAAAAATTGCCTCCAGATGGGGAAGAGCAAAAGCTCTGATTGTAAGCCATTATGTTTTTACTGGCCTGCCTCCCCATCCCATTGCCGGGTTTGGAATCTGTAAGCCAGTCCAAATCCTTTACCTCATTTTCTAGTACCAATTTACTGTCTTACTCATCTTCCAGCTGCAAGGGGTGAGGCAAGTTGCCTTGAAATTGAACCCTCTGCCATTTTATAAACCAAGCAATAGCAGAGTATCAATATCAGTGGCTCTGATTTCTCTGAAGTTCTTGAATCTCACCTACCAGGTAAATTTGCATCTGTGTCATATGCACGCTAGGATCAGTCTGGAAATGAGTCTGAATAAGCCCTTTGGGCTTTGTGTAGACTTGTTACACAGGGTTGCCTAGCATTCTGAGCTGTTGCATGGGGAGCGCAGTTCATGTTTTGACTGTTAAGTGTCACTGGATGCTCCAGTTTCCCTTGGGAGGTCGTAATTGTGGGGGTTGAGATTGTGGAGGAATCTAGTGTCTGGACATAATGGGTCCAGTGGCGCTGGAGTCTGGCAGACTCAAGCCCACATCATTGCTCCAGAACTAATCAATGGATGACTTGAAGACAAGTTATTTTCTGTACCTGGAAAATGGGGGAGAATGCCATATCAGCTTGTTTGACATAAACAAATTTTTTTGGAGGTGGGGCTATTGGGTACTCATGAGAAATACTCAAGTATTAAGTTCCTTTCCCTTGTCATTATGCCAACCTTGATTGTGGTCTAATTTTTCACCATTTTATTAATTGGAAATTGGGATGATAAGTGATTTTCATATATTGCATTTTAAAGTTGAGCACCAAAATAATATATAACACATGATCTACTGGATAGGGCAAAGTAATTATTTTTAATTAAAATATATTTGTGTAGGCTATAGTCACGTATGTATAGTCTTGTTGCTTACCTATGGGAATATGTTCTGAGAAATGCATCATTAGGCAATGTCCTCATTGTATGAACATCATATAATGTAGTTACACAAACTTAGGTGGGACAGCCTTTGCACCTGGGATGTAGGTATTGTTCCTGGGCTATGAATGTGTACAGCCTGTTACTGTACTAACCATCTGGGTAGTCATAAACAGTGGCAAGTGTCTGTGTATTTCCACATAGAAAAGGTAAGTAAAAAATCCTATAAAAGATTAAAAATTGTATAATTATATAGAACACTACACTCACCAAGAATGGCATTGAACTTACTCTGGGTGAGCCAGTGAGTGAGTGATGAGTGTGAAGGACTCTAGGATGTTAACACACATCATTGTAGACTTTACACACCTTATAAATAATAAGGCTACACTACATTTATTTAGAAAATTTTTTCTGGGCTGGGGGGACGGAAAAGCTCAGAGGCCCTTGGTTTGATCCCTAACATCACCACCTCCCCCACAAAAAAATCAGTAATAAAATAACCTTAGCTTATTTTAACTCTGACTCTTGTAATTACACTTACATTAAAACACAAATACTTTGTTTATGTTCCAAACATAGCTGTACAAAAAAAAAATGTTTTCTTTAAGCTGGTTGTGATGGTGCACACCCAGCAATTCCAGAGGCTGAGGCAGGAGGATCCAAGTTTGAGACCACTCTAAGCAACTTAGCAAGACCCTGTCTATTTAAAAAAAAAAAAAAAAAAAAAAGGATGGGGATGTAGCTCAGAAGCACACCTGGTTTTAATCCACAGTACCTATATATCTTTGTTCTATAAGCTTTTTTCGGTTTTTAAAAATTTCTAGGCTTTTTTGTTACGAACTAAGACACAAACACACACATTAGCCTAGGCTTTCATGGTGTGAGGATCCGTCAGTATTACTATTTTCCACCTCTACCTACCTTATTCCCCACTGGAAGGACTTCAGGTGTCGTGAAACTTGGATCCTCCTATGATGACAATGCCTTCTAGAATTCCCTCATAAGGACCTGCCTGAGGCTTCTCTCCATGAGGTATCATTCTTTTCAGAAATATGTTCATGGTGGTTTGTTTATATTTATTTATTTGTTAGTTTATTTTCACCGTCGATTTGCTTGTATATAGATAATGCACCATGAACAGTCCTCTCTGTTAATGAGACCCTGTCTTTAAAAAGAAAAAAAAAAGAAAGAAAGACTGGAAGTGTAGCTCAGTGATTAAGTGTCTCTGGGTTCAGTCTCTTCTCCCTGTCCCCCCCGCCCCCAGTGCATCAATCAGAGTTGAGAAGTGACCAGGGAAGCATCCTCTGGCACTGTTTATCTGGCTTCCTTATGCAAGATGGGCAGCAGTGCAGAGAGGGCTTAGAATAATCTCTTGGCTGGTTCCCCAGCCCCCTACCCTCATATCCTGTATCTTGTCTAGACAGAATGATGGAGAACAGAGTTTTTATTTCCTATCATGGGCAGGGAGATCAAAGGCATCTATAAAGCTTCTGACAATAGGAAAGGTTAGAAATGAAAAAAAAATCAACTCTCTACCAAATTATGAAAAGATAACCTGCTTTATGATGTTCATACTTAAGAAACGTTAATGTTATCTTTGTCAAGTTACTATTATGCAATTTAACATATATATATAAATATTTTTTTTTCCCTTTTTTGTAGGTACTGGTTTGGGATTAGGAATTGTTTTCTCACTTACCTTCTTTAAAAGTAAGTTTGACTCATTTTTCCATACAGTATATATGTGCGTAGCAGGGACACAAGTTTGGAGAAGGCACATCTAAATGGCTGTTGGCCCATCCATTTATGGGTTAGGTAGGCCATTGTAAAACAGCTCTGGACAAAGAATGTGGACTTGAAAGAGGTCAAAATGGGCTGGACAGCTCCTGCATTCCCTCTGGGTGTTGAGTCAGGTGCCTGTTATCTTAAAATATGATATCATTTCAAAAGCCTGTACTTTATGCCAGTGAGTCATTTAGCCAAGTCTTCATGCTCAAATATTTCTAATTAATTGTAATTTTTTTCTAAAGGAACTTGAAAATGAGAGTCTTGCTGGTAATAAAAACGAGTGAACCAGAAATACACATGCTTCCTGGCCAAAAATTCTAAGTAAAGGCAGGCAGTATCCCTTTCATTCTTTGGAATAACTTCCGAAGTTTGGATCGTAAACTGAAGCCAAAGGGGTCACTTTGACCTGTTTCCATGAAGAGCTGTCAGGGACTACATAACTAGAGAATCACGATTAACATACTCTGTTGATGTGAAATAATCATTTACAGATTGGTTTAAATAAACTCCATGATTTACTAAACTAAAGTATATAAATATTGGTGAAATTGCTACCTATTTAAACAATTTGAAGCACCTTACTGAAAGGTATTATTACTTCTGACAAGGTTAAAATATCAAACTGAGCAGATGATTAGAACTGATACCAAAAAACTCTATTTTCATATTGTACTACTTAAATTTTCCTCAAAGCTAGCAGCATAGATGCTTATAAATATTTGCTACATTAATATTTACGTATTAACCCTTTTTTGGTGGCATGGACAAAACATCCACAGCACTGTGGTATCGCGATATGGTGCCCACTGAGGATTTATTGAACCCTTAGCAGATGTATTAAAGGGGTGGGAAACTTTATCCTCTCTAAATGATTTTTTTATTGAGATTTTCCTTTTTTTGCTCAATAGGAAAAATGTGGCCATTGGCCTTTGGTTCAGGCATGGGATTGGGGATGGCCTACTCCAACTGCCAGCATGATTTCCAGGCTCCATATCTTCTACATGGAAAATATGTCAAAGTATGTATACGATTGATGTTTCTTTTCTTTTCTTTTTTTTTTTGCAGAAGAAAAAAGTTTCTCCTGAGGTTGTACTTTAGTGCCAATTGGCCTTTAGTGATGTTGACACTATTTGGTGCTAAGAGGGTCTCCCCTGGGTCTTTAGTTGCATGTGTGCATTCAGATGTGCATTTCCATGGTGGATGGCTGGGACTGAAGTCATTATCAATGGGGAAGCATTAGCTAGCTGTAAGTAGCACTTTTCCTTTAAGATCTCAGTGCCCTGTAAGCACCTCACTCAAACTAAACCTGAAAACTCTGGCTCTCGGCCATGATTCTGCGTTTTTATTGGAGAAGATAGTCTTGACTAAATTTCCTGTGTTTCTGTCAAAGGTCTTGTCTATAGGTGGAGTTTTCTTTTTACTTTTTGCTGTGCTTGGATTGAAACCAAGGCCTCACGCATGATAGGCAAGCGCTGTGCTACAGAGCTACATCCCTGGCCCTTTTAAAAATTTTGTTTTGATATGGGGTCTCTCCAAATTGCCCAGGCTGACCTCAGACTTGCAATTCCCTTGCTCTAGCTGGGATCACAGGTGTAAGGCAGCACACCTAGACACAAGTGGATTTGCAAACAAACTGGAAAAAGGAAAGAGTGTAGCCTGTCTCCTGAGGTTTGTGTGGCAGCCTTTCCCCTTGCCTTGCTTTAGATGGTTGGTTCCTATGGGGTTTAAGTGACAAGGTCAGGGAGGCTGGGTGTTCACGGTTAGAGATATTATTTTTTTGTCTCCAGGGCCTGGAACAAAGAGTAGGCACTGAAGTAAATGTAGAGCAGATGAGTGAAGTGAATCATGTCTTCCGCTAGCTGTAGGTGGTAAAGGCTGGGCTCGCTGAAGCTCAGCCTTTACAGCAACCCGGCCTCTGGTGAAGAGCTGCACAGTCCCTACATGTCTCGGATTCCCCGCTCTCCAGCTTTCCTTTGAGCTGGAACCTTCACTTCGATGGGGCAGCAGCAGATCAGGAGACCTGTGTGCAGGCCGTCCCTTGCTTCTTACGAGAATCTCAAGTTGTTTCACTTTCAAGCTCCCATTTTCCATCCGTAAAATGAGGAAGAATTTCTCCCTATGGGGGATTTTTGTTGTTGTTTTGTGGGGTGGATCCTGGGGATTGAACCCAGGACCTCACACATGCTAAGCACATGCTCTGTCACTGAGCTACATCCCCCAACCTCCATAGGGTTGTGGTGAGGGTTAAAAGTGAAAATGTTTTTAAGCTGTGAGGTGCTATATAAATAGAAACATCAGTTATAGTTGAGGCCAACCAAGAAAGGGTGATTGACTTGTCCATTGTTCCACCATAATAACAAGTAGAGCGGAAAATGTGGCACAAATGCGTGTCCTAATTTGGTCAAGAGCTGAAGCTACAGGGTCACGAAATCTCAAATAACAGTATTTTACCACAGCTCCGCAGCCTTCTCTTTAGGAGCCGCTCGCACTCTGTCAGCTGCCCACCAGCTAATCTGAGCGCTGCAGAGAGTGGGGGCAGGGGGAGTTGATATTAATGAACCACCTCTGAGCCAAAGCCAGGGGGAGGATAGCAGAGGGGGACAAGGAGAGGCACAGCTGCATGGCAGCAGGCTGAGGACAGGCCTTTCCACTGCTCCCTGACTCCACTTTCCTGGCAGCGAGCTGAGTCTGGGGTGGGGGAGAACAGAAAGAACAGGCAGAGAGCAGGTCTTTTTCTTGTTCAAAATGTTTCCATTGTTCCAAACTGGGTTGTCATGGATAATAGCTCAGAGGTGATTATATGGGTATTATATGTTTCATAGCTGGGAGTTACAGTGGAAAATGTTGTTACATATTTTTTACAGCCTAGTGTATATTGTTCCAAAATGGCCTTGTAACTTCATCTCAACTTGAGTCTATGCCTCGATGTTGTCATCCTCTACTTGCTTTAAGAGGAAGGGCTCATTCAGGGTAGTCATACCATGCTCACTGCTTGTCAAATGACAGCTACGGCCCTGTGGGCCATCTCAGTGGCTTTATCTTCATGTGCTTTCTCTCTAGACCTCCCAGTTGGTCCTGAGAGAGGTGTTATTATCCTCAGTCAGCAGATGAGAAAATGGAATCTTACTGGGGTTAAGAAACTTGCCAGAGATCATATAATTAGTAGGCTGTTTCAAGTGATGTCCTTTGCACTCACCTATGACCCCTTAGATGGTTTTAGGAACTTAGTTTGCCAGGGCCTGTTCCATTCCTTGCCCATTCTTTTTCCTCTTAATATTGGGGGAACCGTTCTTAGGAACCTGAGAGGGATATTTACCATCTTCTGGTGAGAGTTTAAAGCAACAGTGTGGGGAGGTTCTGTCCCTTGGGTCTGGCCTGAAGCAGCGATTCAGGTCATCCAGCTGCTGCCTGCATTGTTCTGACCTGAGTATCCTTGCTTCACAGGAGCAGGAGCAGTGACGCACACTGAGAACATCCCAGTGGGAGGACAAGAGAAATCAAGTTTATTCCTCAGGAATACTGAAGTGCCCTGGAGTTAGCTGACATTTCTTCTGGAACAATGTTATCAGTAATGCTTTAAACTCCAGCACACTGTTTATGTATTTGAAACCAAGTCTGTTTCTTGTTTTGTATTTTCTCTCTGGAAAATGTAAGGAGGTGATCTTAAATAAATTTAAACAAAAATGGGAAGCTGTGTGCATGGCCTTCGTTTCTTGGCCTTTGGTCTTTGAGCATCAGGCTCTGTTTGAAGCATCTGCTGGAGCCTCTGAGCACCCCTGATGCTGTAGCTGGCATGTGTTCCTTCCCACTTGCCTTCTCATGGGTAGTTACCAGAATCGCTTCCACCTCAAAAATCTGAGGCTGGAGGGCTGCTGCATGGTCCTGTGAAGACGACTGGTGTCTCAAGCACTTCCTCGCTGGAGCAGCTCTTTGGGCCTCTATCTTCTCACAGCGTACCTAGAGGGCACGTCCCTGCCCTGCTGAGGGCCAACATCTGCTGCATTAGCAGGACATGAACCTGATCGTCGGTGGCTCACACCACTGATGTCAAATCCTGCAGTTTCACGGAGCTGGAGCTGGTGCTGTCTGGGCTTTGCCCCCCTCCCCCCGGGGAGTGGCTTTCTTCTGATGGTAGAGAGAGCTCCATGCGCACCCACCTGACTGAAAGGCCACTTTTGGGGTGGGTATTGTCTTCTCATAGCACTGAGGCTTAAGGACAGAGGACCACCTCTGATACCCTCTGTGAGTTTGTTCCTGTGCTTTCACTTGAACCAGGTAGGCCGGACGTGAAAAGAGCATTTCAGAGCCAGATACGGTGGCACATAATTGTAATCCCAGGTACTTGGGAGGCTGAGGCAGGAGGATTGTGAGTTCAAGGCCAGTCTGGACAATTTAGCAGTACCCTGTCTCAAACTAAAACGGGTTGGGATGTAGCTCAGTGATTGAGTGCTTATCTAGCATCTAGGAGGCCCTGGGTCCAATCCCTAGCCTTTCAAAAAAAAAAAAA